GAGAGAGAGAGAGAGAGAGAGAGAGAGAGAGAGAGAGAAGCAGCCCGGGCTGCAGATGGTGGGTGTCTGTGGTCTGCCAGGACCAGGGAGAGGTCCTTAGCCGCTCTTGGTGAGGACAGGGGAAGCTATCGGGTCAGGTGAGGTTCCTGAGCACAGCACCTGGTGGCCAGGGCCTGCCACTCCAGCTGCGCCCTCTTCCCCACCCTGCTCCCCAGCAGCCAGTTACAGGAGGAAGTGCCGCAGCTTAATCAGAATTATTTACAAGATAATGGTCCATTGTTTGCACTAAGACAGATGTTGTCTGTGGGAACTTTGTGTTTTATGCTCTCTCCCTGCTCTGCCTTCCCTGGTGCAGATGGGATCCAAGTAATGTGAGTTATTATTCGGGACGGAAATTCGGAGGCTGCTCTTCTGCACCCAGATTCCACTGGGCCACAGAGATAGCCTGGCCCTGGGGTGGGCAGGCGTTGAGATGGCCACTGCTGGCTGCAGGGCCAGGCAGGGCCCTCCAGCAGGCTGTGATTAAGAAGGTCATGTTTCCTTGAGGGGCGGGTTGGTGCAATCGCCTTGTCCAGGACAGGAAGGACTCACTCTGATTAAGATGTACTTGCTATGTGTTGACTTGCGAGGTCACCACTGACATCTCGAATGAGGGTGGCCATCTGGTCCTGCTTTGCCAAAGGCTAAGAGCAGCCCCTCTCGGGTGGGGGTTGTGTGTCCCTGCTCCCCCTCTTTGACTGGCCAGAGGCCTTCCTCTGGAGCTTCTGGGTCACTTGAGGATCGGCTTCACTGGGCTTGAGAGCCTCACTCTCTTGCTTCAAGGTGCAGCTGGTCAAATGAATGCAGGTTTCGTGGACTGGCCAAGAGGGAATTTGTAGATCAGGAGGGAGGTGGTGCTGGGGTGGGGGTGGGAGATTGGCTCTGTCTCCAGATTCCCTCTCAGCTTCTAACACCAAGTCAGACAGTTACACCCCACTATGCCGGCCCATCTTGTTACACAGCCCTTGAAGTCAGTCAGTCCTTCAGTAATTTCTGAGTTTCCAGTCATCTCTGCATAGACAGCCTCATCTCCCCACTTTATGAATGAGAAAATGGAGACTAAGACAAATCAGACAACTTGATTCCCAAAAATGTCTCATAGCCTAAGCCATGACCTCACCATTATAGGCTCTGTGAACCTGGGAGTGGTTACTGCTCGCAGGACTTGGGTCAAGCAGAGAGTCATTCCCTGAAGTGCACATGTCAGATGCCAGCCCCAGAGCCTAGCAGCTGGAGAGACTCCCTGGACAGCCAGAACATAATGTTATCCAGGAAAGGGCTAAACCATTGAGCTATACTACCAAGTCTCTGTTAATATTTTTGAGACAGGATCTCAAAAAGTAACCTAGACTGGTCCAGAACTAGGCAACCCTTCTGCCTCTGCCTACCAAGTGGTGAGCTCACACGTATGTGCTTACTGTACACAACTCCATTTTTTTTTTTAAATACAATGTATTTTTCGTATCCAGTAGGGGCCAAGAACAAAAACACAGATTCAAGTAATGTATATGGTTACCTTGGGATGTGTGAACAAGAAGACGAAATAGAAAAGAGTGGCTTTTATAAACTAAGAGAACATATACCTGGCATGTAGGTGCCCAGAGGAAAACGACCACTTCCTTCATATTTGTTGACCCACATACTACCCAGAAATCATTCCTACCCCAGGGGTCTTCTTCCTTCATAAATAAGCTATTTGGAGCATCTTGGTCAGATTGAAGATGGCATTCTCCTGCCAGGTCCCCACCTGAGGAATGGCTCTGACAGACTTAACAGAAGGACCTGGTCTTTTATTGCGTTATTTAACACTCCAGTCGATGTTAAAATAATACATATTCACTGTAAAGCCAGCAGTAGCAGCACAGGCCTATGATTTCAGTATTGGGGAAGCTGAAAGAGGTTCAAGGGTTCAAGGCCAAGGCTCTGTTACATAGTGGGACTCTGCCTTAAAAAATTCAAAACTAAAATTCCATAGTATGAGCCAGGGTCAAGTTATATTCAGCCCCTTATGGATAATAATGCAAATTACATCCTTTCCATGAATCCCAAGGGAGGTGTCATCCTATTCTTCTCTCACTCTCAGACTCTCAGAGATGGGGAGGAGGGACACGAGGGGGGGCTCAGGGGTGCTCCCTGCCTTACCCCGAATCACCTGTACCTCAGGCAGAAACAAGCCCTGCTCAGCCGCCGCCTGCTGTTCCATTTGTTCCCTTGAGCACCCCTTTGGGATACATCACAACTAAACTGACCAATAAATAAAAGCAGCAATTTCTGCCAACCTGTGCCTCTGGGTCCCAGGAAAAGAGAAGACCATTCTAGGTATCAATTCAAACTCCAAACAGAACCTGAGAATTTTCACACAGAGACTGACAGGGCACGATGGTGCATGGGACCAAGGCTTGAACTAACCATGTAGCCCTCAGTGGCTGCATCTCTCCTTTTATTTTGACCTCAGTTTCTCCAGCATCACAATCTCAAGTCAATCATTCTTAGGACTATATCCAGTTATTTCCCGGGGGGTGGGAGGGGGTGGGGGGTAAAAACTCACCCCTCCCCTTTCCTGAAGCAATAGGATGTCAAGGAAACCTGACCCCTAACCCAGCAAAACTCCCCTGGGGGCGGTGGGGATAGTGAGTGGGTGGCCTGGAGCACCAGCAAGCCCTCCAGGCTGGTGCTGCCGCCCGCCCAGCCCCCAAGGATGAGGACAGCAGCAGAGTTCAAGCTGGGATAATATTTATCAACCTTATTCTCATGCTGTCAGCCTCTGCCCCAAACCCAGCGTCACGGGAGATCCCAGCTTATATCTCTTCAGGCCCCACAGAGCCACCTCACATGTACCCAATTACCTCTGTCAAGCTGGGGAAGGAGGTCCCCTCTGTGGGTGGGATCTTAGGCCTTTGAGCCCATTCCTCCTGTCCAGCCAGTTAAAACTGTTGAAACTGCAAACCAGTAATAAAAGGATCATATGTGTTTCCCACCGAACAGGTTCTTTAGGGCTATTACGATAATTAAAAACATATGGTGCTGTGCTAGTCGGAGGGAAACCGCAGATGTACAAATTAGGTATTATAGAAGGGTTTTCTGCTTTTGCCCTTTTAAAAACGTCAAGCCGGAGAAGTTTAGGGAGATAAAATGGCAATTGTGCAGACAGTGGGTAGCGTTTTGCTTTTAAAATCATTAAATATATAAGCTCTTGTTTTTAGACTTACAGGAAATAAACAGCTTCTAGCAGGAGAAGCGGAGGAAAGAGGCTCAGAGGCAGGGGTGTGCAGGGGTGGGGTGGGTGAGGAAGCCACCATCCCACCTCAGTGTCTCAGATACCACACAACTGTATGCATTTTTACACTGAAGAGGATTATATTAAATATTGAATTGTATTATAGTGCAATTGATAGGCACAAAGATGGGTGGTTTTTGTTTTGTTTTGTTTTTAGATTAAACTTTTTAATTGTTAGATGGCAAAGATGCAAGTATCGAGTAGTCTAGAAAGCATCATTTGTTTTAATTTAAAATATGCAATTGATTTTGAGAAGGTGATAAATATTGTTAATAAAAAGAAATTGGGAGGATTTCCAGGGCTCCTTGTCAGGGGCCTTCCAGGGTGGCTGTTTGGTGGTCCAGGTCTGTGGAGATGGGCCCCCAAGATGGCCTTGCTTGGGGGCCCACAGAAACAACAGGCCTGCAGCCCTAACCCAGTGAGGTGCTGGTCCGGCAGCCAAGGATGCAGGACTTCATCACTGCATGTGTGGCTGCTCTGTGGGGGAGGCAGTGCGGGACAGGTCACAGGAGCTTGGCCTCTACCTTCTCTGGCCTCAAGGCTTCTCCTCTTATTATTCATGAAAACACTTCCAGGTCCCTCCCGAGATTATCTACTCAGGACAGGGGTGCTCCCACACCATTTTAAAACACTTCTGGATAAGGCTAACTAGGTAAGGAAGCAAATGCCAGTCAACAGGAAAACACAGCAATCAGGAGGTACCACTACCCCAGAAACCAGCCTGAACACTCAGATAACTGGAACTGACGGAACCACAGTGCAGAACTCCTGAAATTCTTAATAATGAACAAAAACGAAGTTTGTTCTACATTTCCCCCCAGTACTTGGGACTTAATCCATTTTCTTGGGCATATAGGATGTGTTCACATATATCTCCAATCTCTCTCTCTCTCTCTCTCTCTCTCTCTCTCTCTCTCTCTCTCTCTCTCTCTCTAGTTATTTATTTACTTTTTGAGATGGGATCCCAGGACAACTTTGAATTAATTCTGTAGCCCAAGCAAGCCTTGACTCTGCAATTCCCCACCCTCAGCCTACTGACTAGCTGGGACTACAGGTCTTTAGTCTCAGGCCCCATTTACTCAATATAACACTGTGCTGTGGTAATTGTCGAATTACAAATTTTGAAGAATTGGATGTTAGAAGACTCTGGACTAGAAAGAGCCCTTTCTTGGTCATTATCAATGAAAATGGTCTGTGTAGTGGACTCCTTGGCTCTGTCTTTGGTGAGGTCCCTAGGTCTCCTTTGCCATCAATTTTACCTATACACTTTGGATGCCATCAAAGGGCCATTGTCGTCTGGTGTCCCTACCTTTGGGATCTGTGACTTGCCTTTTCCCTCTGCTTTGTCTCTGGGTTAGGTAGTGTCGCCAACCTTCTCAGATAACTCCAGCCATGATCAGGATGAGAAAGGGATTCTTCAGACATCTATAAACAGGACACTACAAGGGGCAGTGATTCCTAAGAGGAGTGGAAGGAATCTTCTTCTGTAGCAGACATTTGGCAGCATCTGGAAGCATTGGGTGGTATGCCTGGCATCCAGTGAGTAAAGGATCAGGGAGGCTGTTTCACACTTCACACTGGACAACCTCTCCAGCAAAGAACTAGCCACCCTAAGTATCTCCAGTTCCATGGCTGGGAGAGCCCTGTAGTCAGGGATGATGAGTTCCAGGCCTGCCAGCGAAACACACGCTTGGATAAGCAGTGGCCAGCTAAGAAACAGGGCTTGCTACCCAGCTCCTGCTGCACCATGCCATTGACCACCCAGACAAACAGTCCTCTCCAAGTCATGTTTCCTGTGGATCTCGGGCCTCGATGTGAAGGTTATAGGAGGACTGAGCGAGTTTTGGAAGTGGAAACTCTGAGCAAAAGAACTAGCTCATTGAGCACGAGGGTGTAGGGAGGGTGGCAACTGTGCTGGCAGCCCAGAGCCGGCCTTTTCTTCTCCCTTGAGTGATAGCAAGCCTAAGATGTTATTGTGCACATAGGTATTACCGCTTTAACTT